CCGCTCATCACCTCTTTTTCAGTGGGGGGCCACGGACTGACTGGGATTTCTGGAGGAGGAGGAAGGCTGTCAGGCCTCCACACCACTTCAGGGACTTTGCCCTTTGCCCCTGGAAATCATTGCATTATCATGAAGCCCAGACCTCAGCAGGGACACTTGACCATCATCACCGCACCAGCAAAGACTCCTGCCAGAGACACACAAGATCCTGCTCTGTCTCCCCTTCCCTTGCGTGTTCCTTTCTGCCCCACTATTTTTCCTCCTATGATGTGTCTCTCTCTCTGCCTCTCTCTTGTTTCGGCTTACCACACGGCACCAGCACAATGAGACAGGACAGCCCATGCAGCTCTGCTCAGCCTGAGAGAGACCAGCCCAGTCAGAGGATTTCCCAGACCCCAGACTGGGAGATGAGCCAGAACCCAGAGCAACTGCTGTTGCAGCTGAACTGGCAACCCAGAACCTCAAGAATATCAACAAAAACCATATTTCTCCATCTTTACTATCCTGTCTCTTTTCCCCTCACACTTTTCTGTTTGTCAAAAGCAGAGAAAGTGACCATCTGTCACGGCTGGATGGTGGGTAGCCAGACCTAGTGGTCAGAACCAGAGGCTGCAAGACAGGAGTCAAGAGTCGGCGGGGTCAGGATACTAGGTCAGAAGCAGCAGACAAACATGAGATCAGAACCACCAGGGGGGAACCAGAGGCAGATGACAAACTGGAGGTTGGGAACCATGGGTCAGAAGCCAGGACATCAAGCCAAGGACACACACAGTCCACAGCATGGTGGAGCCCAGTTCGGTTTCTTGTGCCTGCTGTTGGATTAAGTAGGGCCAGTGGGCCAATCAGCCACTCTGGGACTCTGCCAATCAAACCTCGGGGCGGAGCCTTCCACTGGGGCTGGGTTTCGTATATCTGAGGTACACTAATCTCAGCAGCCTACTTGGTGGAGTGTTGGAGTGGGGCTGCTCTCAGCAGCCTTACGGGCCTGGGTTTGAGACCCCCCCCCATGGGTCATGACACCATCCTTCACATCTCAGAACTAAGCAACAAAACTAGCCCCTTTCTCTCTCCCCTCCCCCCAAGAAAGGTTGTCCAATAAAAGACTAACTTTTTAAAAAAGAACGTTGATAGGTTTTGGTTAAGTTTGTTTTATATAATCATTCCATTTCAGTTTTAAAGGACTTTAAAACTTGCTTTAGCTCCTTTTCTTTCATGTATCCCAATCCATAAATCTCCAAACTTTAGCAGTGTGCTTGCCATGGTACTAAGCAGGCCACGGTCTGCGTATACCAGACCTCAAACCTTGGTTCACCCTGCTCAGTGCTAGACAGTAACAGAGTCATGTTAGCACCTTGAACTCTTTGGGCCCATATAGTCCCTCTAAGTTAGCACAAGTCCTTTCATCACTGATCACTAACTCACTGTGCAGCACCGGTGCAAAGTGCAATGGAAATGTAACGCATTATGGGAAGAGTGCAACAATCGCAGTTCCTTATGGAAACTCCCTATATGAGTTGTCCTTCAATAAGGTATAACTGGAAGTAATAAAATGATATTAAACAAAGGGACATTTAGACTGAAAATCAGGGGGGAATATCCTTCAGGAAACTGGCAGCAGATGATAACATACGCTGTTCCTTTCTCTAATTTCTATCAGTTATGATGAACCCTCTCTTGTGCCATATTGACATTTGAATTAACTTTGGCTAGCACCAGCAGAGGGCACTGTTACCCCACAGACCAACCCCCAGTTCCCCTGCCCGATCCACACGAGCTACCTCGTGGGAAGTAGGGCTCCAGTTAATATTGTTTTTCAAGTCATTTCAACAGAAAAAATCAGAAATAAATCCCCAAAACTTATTTCATTCCCAGCTTGAGCGCAATTCACTTTTTGAGTGTCTTGGGTAACTATGTGAGGTTACATTTTCCAGCCAAAAGCTTGTTGAAAATAGGGTGAGTTGTGTGTCTTATTCTGCTGGAAATTTACCATGTGGGCTATATCTTGGAAGGACGCATATGTATGGACCTACAATTGTATGCAGCACCTATCCCACTATTCTGAGACCTCTATCTGCTTGGGTTTGGCTGCACAGAGGCACCTGGGGAGGGACCAGAGAATAAATCACAGAGAGACATGATTTACCGGCATCACCTTCAAATCTTGTTTCCACATTTTAAACCTGATGTCTTTGCTTTTCCATCATCACAAAATATATCAGATGCCCCTTTCTGGGGAGTCCAAAGGCCCCGCCGTGGGGCAGCCTCGCACAACTCCCACGGGTTGTTTATCCTGCCTCACCATTTCTTTGGATGCATGAGCATTTTTTCATTATTCTCAATCATCATGGTAAAAGCAAGTGAATTTTGTGCCTGGGCTGGTAAATTTTAATGCCAGGCTTGAGTGTTGGGCATAAATACCATATAATCATTCCTGTGTGGCCATAGCTTCTCCCATGCTTAGATAACCTCCAAATATAAAACACAGCCCCGTTGAACACAAGTCAGACCACTGGAAAGGAGCAGAAGGCGGCGAAAAAGTCTAACCCAGTTGTCAGGAGATGGGAGTTTTATACCACCAACATTAAACCATTTCAAGACACAAACCCAGTGACGCCGTTTTATGGACTCCTTTGAGGACGCATCACAAAACCTCATAATGAATTTGAAATGGACACGTACCAGACAGGTCAAGTCAACTGAATGGTTGGCTTAGGCCCACTGCCTCTCTACATTCCCCACCCTAACCTGGTGCTAGTGACTCACAGTACCAAGATGCTTTGGTAGATGCCATGAAGGTCACCAAACAGAGTCAGAGCCTTTGGTGTAGCTCCATCAGGGCCGGCTCCAGGCACCAGCGCAGGAAGCAGGTGCTTGGGGCGGCCAATGGAAAGGGGCGGCACATCCGGGTCTTTGGCGGCGGGTCCCTCAGTCCCTCTTGGACAGGGCCGGCTCCAGGCACCAGCTTGACAGGCAGGTGCTTAGGATGGCCACTCCAGAGAGGGGCGGCACGTCCAGCTATTCGGTGGCAATTCGGCGGACGGTCCCTCACTCCGGCTCGGAGCAAAGGACCTCCCGCCAAATTGCTGCTGCAGATCGCGATCGTGGCTTTTTTTTGGCTGCTTGGGGCAGCCAAAACCCTGGAGCCGGCCCTGCTCTTGGAAGGAAGGACCGGCCGCCGAATTGCCACGGAAGAATGAAGCGGCGCGGTAGAGCAGCCGCTGATCGCGGCTTTATTTTTTTCTATTATTTTTTTTCTCTTCGCCGGTTGGGGCGGCAAAAAAGCTGGAGCTGGCCCTGAGCTCCATAATTTACACCAGCTGAGGGTCTGGCCCTGAGAGTCTGGCAGAATGTCAGAGACAGAAAGTTCCACTGATTCATCCCAAAGAGAATTTCTTTCTCTGGAACTGACATCAAGAGAACCCCAGTCACTCATCTTAACTGCTAAGGGGTAAGGTAGTCTCCTAAGCAGACAGGTCTCAAATGATTCTGGGCTCTTATATTGGGTAGCCAGAAGAGGTCACTCTTCTACCCACTGGTCTTCTCTTGATCACTAAGGCCTTGGCTACACTGGCAATTCACAGCGCTGCACTTGCTGCGCTCAGGGGTGTGAAAAAACACCCCCCTTGAGCGCAGCGAGTGCTGCGCTGTAAAGCACCAGTGTAATCAGCGCCTGCAGCGCTGCACGCTCGCTCGCAGCGCTGCAAGCTATTCCCCTCGGAGGGCGCGACTATCCTCGTGCTTCACAGAGCTGCCGCGGCAGCGCTGTGAATCCGCGAGGTTAGCCAAGGCCTAAGAATTAATTAATAGCAACACCTTAGGGTCCCATTCTTAGAATCTCTCCACGAGCTTTTTATGCTGAAATTAACAGCTAAATGCTAGTTATTTAGATCACCCCTCAAAATAAGGTCCCCATTGGATAATGCTGAAAAATAAAGCAATTTTCCACCTAATGTCACCGTTTCAACGCCTGTCAACTGCACTAGCTGGGTCAAGGTACAGTATTACTGAATGGGCTTCCTCCAGAAAGCTAGTGGTTACACTAATATGTGTGGACTCAACGTTTACATCTGGCTTGGTGCCTTTCAGCTTGGACCTTATTAACAGGGAGTTCTCGACAAGCTGCGAACTCGTGTTTCTGGGATAGCAGGATCAGCTAGTTTGACACTGCAGCAACCCCTTACAGGCAAGTCAATGAGCAGGGAAAGCAGCATCCAGCTCTCTTTGGTCGTGGTTTGAAGAACAGTCAGCACGATCCATAGTCTTTGAGGGGGAGAGAGAATAGGAGGTGGGTGGGGGAGGAAAGCGAAAGAAATCATCCATGGGTCCCAAAAGGCTTCCAATCTCCACCGGGGGAGACAGGTAAAGAGCATCCCATAGGTGTAATATCACGCCCCCAGGGTGGGTTATCAACAGCAAAGCTCGAACCCGGGACTTCTGGATCTAAACGCTGCCTCAGCTAAAAGACTCCATTAACAAAGGCCGTAGCAGGCTCCTCAACCTCTCGAGGGAGACACAATGCCACACTGAATGACTGTGGGTTACACATGGTTTTTAAGGAAGGGAGAGAAAGGGGTGGGGGAAAAGATCATCTGTGGGTCCAAAAAAGACTCATACATCCTCCTCTCTCAACCAGGAGGAGAATCCACGCGGGTCCAAACCTGCTGGAGTCTGACAAAGGGAAGCCGGGAACCCAAAGCATTCAAGACAAATAAGCTCCCAACCGCTGCAACTTGGCTAAAGAAACCCAGCTACTTCCCTGCGTCAGATCTATCAGATATGGGTTTGCTATTGCAGTTTGCTGTAGTAGGACTGGGAATCGAGACTGCAATAGAGCAGGTGCGAAGAATAGTTTAATAACCTGGCTTGATGGGGTCTGGGAGCGTGAAAGAACACATTTTAACACAGCCACGTTCCACCTCATTGCCAGCCTGATTTAACTCAGCTCTGTCTATGATCGATTCCTCGTTGTGACACTGAAATAGTGAAAGATGAATGCCTACCTCCAAGATAAGTTCCTTTTATTCCACTTTGTCACGGCCTGAGCGTGCCGCTTCTTTCTGGTCTCTGACTCAGCAAGATCAGGTAGAGAGCAACGAGGTGTCTTCATTAATTCCAGTGTAGCTTCATCTAGATTTCAAAGAAGAACACACACAAAAAGAAAGCGCCTTGAAATACTGTGATGGAAATTGGTCTAACGTCTCCACTTTCAGAGGGTGAAACCGGTTGGTAAAAATATTAAATTCCTTTCCTTACGACACTGAGGGGAGCACAGGGGAGGGAGGGAATGAGCATTACAGACACCTTGTGCATTTTCGTGCAATGCGGTGGGCTTATCAGGCAAATGATGGCAATGCAGCAGTGATAATGTTCCCCTTAAAACACGCCTGCGGCCATTTCAATCTCTCCCTGACTTAGAAGGGAATGCTCTTCCATCTCATCAGTACCGGCATTCACTCTGCTCACCACAGGGCTGTCGACAGAGCCGTAGGCTTTTAAAACTGTATTGATCCGGACTGTAACTTTTAACACGATTGGAAATGCCCAGCAACCAGGGCTGGGTTAGAGAGTGGGAAATATCTCCCTTGCCTAAAGAAACTATATGGGGAAAATAGCACCGATGACTCTTCTTCTAGATCTTCTACGGCGCACTGGGTGCCATTTTCTACCCCACCACCAATCGATCCGGTGCCGTACGTGGCCTGGCAGCAGGGATGAGGGGATGTGTCTCGCAGGGGGATTGCTGATATTAACAAGGTTCTTCATCGTTGATTAGGAACAGCTATGCAGCTGAGGCCATGCCCCACCTCCACACACGCACACGATGGAATAGTTGTGTGTGCTGACACTGAATGTTCCCGGTCATGGAGCAGATTGCATTGCTATTATGCTATGGCTATTAAACCCCCGCACCCCAAAACAGGATAGCAGTAATCATTAACAAGTCCCAAAATAAGGACAAAGTCTCATTTTCCAAAATGACACAACTGGAGCAAAAATGCGGTTGCAGGGCCGGTTTATCTGTCCCAAGAATCACCTATGGGGGGCGGGGGGAGCCAAGTTGTTAGCAAGGCAGTTAGCAAGCAAGGTACAAGAAAGTATCGGGAATGGGAAGCCTCTTTGAATGCATGGGTTAGGCCTGGCCTTAACACTGGCTTTGTACTATTCTAAAAGATGGGAAATAGGAAACCAAGAGCCTTGTCGTCCCTGGTGCCCTGTTCATAATGCACGCCCTTTGGCAAATGGCACCATGGTAGAATGATGACAGCACATTTCTTCCCAGTATTCTACGTTAAAGTGCATCAGGGAACTTTTAGTTTACACCTGCGCGGTCTACGTGGACCGGTTAGTGCGCAACACTTCAGTGCATTTTAGAAATCACACCACCCTAGAGCACATTGCTGCCTTGTGTAGACATGCCCTTAGTCTCTTCTTTTATCTGGATTCCCACCACTCCCCTGGCAAAGCAGTATAGTATTTGCATACAAATATACCATAGTCGTGTTAGACTGGAAATTGATTTGCAACATATTAATATTCTTTTCTTCACGAGTAAGTTTCTTTATTAGGAATGGAATAAAATTGTCAAGGGCTGGCTCCACAACCAGCAGGACTCTGTGGACGCAACAATTTACAGGTCTGGCCTTACACTTTTATTCTAAAAAAAGGGAAATTAAATATTTTTATTTAAAACAAAAATCCCAAAACACAAAGCCCCAATTCACAAGGAAAAGACTGTGAAGGCCATTTTAAACTATGCTCATAATTTCTCACACACACAAAAACCCCAAACCAAGAAATCCACCTTGCTCCTCGGCCTCTCGGTGTTTCTGATAAGACGTGAAAGAAAGATAATTTCATGTATTTAATTAAAAATGGAAAGCAAGCATCTCAGTGATGAGCTGATAAGAAACGTGGACAGAGAGCTGGGACATGGGAAGCAGCTGCTCAGAGAAGGACTTGTCGAGAGCTGCCAAGCCATAGTCTGGACTTGGCAAAGGAGGAGAGCCTGCTAATTAGCAGGTTCTCGCTAACTCTCTTCTAAATAAAGGCAGTGAAAGCAAACTGACCTCACTACAGCAGGTTGTTTCTATGCGTAAGAACTGTGTCCAGGCAGGGAGAGACAAAGAGACTTTAGGAGGGTTACGATGATACTTCCCCCCTCCTTTTTAAAATGAAAACAACTGAGAAGATTTGTTAGGGACAAGCAAACAGATTCAGAGAAAAGCAGAACCGACTTTAAAAATCCCAGCCCCGGTCTTGTGTGTGCTTATGTCGACCAAACTTCACCATGGAATCATTTGATGCACACCTACGGCTAATTCCTCGTGGGGCTGATTGAACCGTCGGGACGGGAATGCACTTGACCCAGTCCCAACATTGCAAGAGTGGGGTTCAGCCAACCTGGACTTGCAAAGGGTTGGACAACTCCACAGCAGTGCATGAGGCCAACAGGCCAGGAAGAGACTTGCACTTCGGGGGTCTGATCCAACTCCCAAGGAACTCCAAGGGAGTCGTTTCATTGACTTCAACAGGAGCTGGATCAGTTTCCTAGATCCCATCCCTGGAGCTCAGGGAGAAGTCTATTGGAGGGCTCAGGTGAGGTGAACCTTATGGTAAGACTCTGAACTGCTTTGGGTGGGAATAAATAAGGCAAGAAAATAATTGACTTGTTATGTTTTTAACTAGAGCAACTACTTTTCTTGAACACTAGGATACACAGGAGCGCTCAGTGTCACAGTATCTAAACAACAACAGCAACAACAGTAATCTTTCATAATTCTATAATTCCTTCCTTCTGAGGCTCTCACTTCACAACCATTAATGAATCCAATGTCACTGAAAGGGAAACCGAGGCGCAAAGAGGTTAAGGACTTGCCTCCAGTCACACAGAAAGTTGCCAGGAATAGAATCCCAAACCCCTAAACCCTGTGGTTAAGCCATGAGCCCATCCTTCTGCAGCTGCAAATTAATATGGCTGAGAGCCTGACAATAACTCTGGCTTTCTTAGCAAAGTGAAAAGCCAAAAAACCTAGCGGTCTTCAAAAAGAATTCAATGCAAACCAGTATAATGAGCAGGAGAAAAAGACAAAAAGAACAGCCGGGAGTCGGTCTTTTAGAAACAATCTTTCCACCCCCACCCCTCTTTGTCAAAAAGAAGGATAACAATAGAATAGTTCAATATACGAATCTGGGCGATTAATTAGCTTATTTTTCCTCAGTTGGATGATGTAATCAATGATTCAATAAACCCAACCAACCCAGCAGTTCTGATGGTTTCTCTCCTTTTTTAAACACATCAAGAGCTATTCTGAGCACAATAAGACCCCCATGGGCATGTGGGCTAGTGAAATAATTGCCCGCCTCAGGTTGTTGAAAACGCAAGGCAACAAAGCACTTGAGCCATGTAATTACTCCTTATAACTGCAAACTGGGCCGTACGTTGTTGCACTCACATTAGATCTTCCTGGGACCGGCACAGTCATCCTTCTGCAGACTCAGTGGTATAGGAGAACGCACCTCCCTCCCCAATCTTATTAAGAGACATCTCTGCAGCTGATCATCAAAATGAAACAGAAGGAGAAAGTGCTTGTTTTCGACTGACCTAGTATCCCTGTTGCTTCTAGGCCTCCAAACTGCTGCATGGCTGTGATGGCTTTTGCAAGCTCTTCCTGGGTCTGCAGTTGTCCCGTGACAGGGCCTGGAGGAGGCAGGTAGCCAAATTTAGTCAGCCAGTCCTGTAAAGCAAGGAGAAGGGGGAAATAAAAAAAGATAGAATGACAGGGTCTGAAGGTCCCATCGGTTCTGCATGGAGAAGTCTTTCCCATTTACATGTCTACACCTGAGTTCCTCATTGAACTTTGTGGTCCATGTTAACAAATGAATGTGTCAGAATGGATCTGTATACATTACTTAAGTAATGGAATCCAGTGACCTTCATGCATTCCAATGCTGACATTTAATTTTCCCATCCGGCTGCAAGCTATCTTTGATCATGGCAACAGCAGCTATAAAACATGGGCCTATGCAGCTATCTTTTAGTCTCCCTTTGGACTGTTGGTTGTTAGCAGAGACCTGTTTGTGGGGAGACTTGCTGAGGATTAAGGGAGCTGAATAACAAAGAGCGAAATAGAACTCACCTGCTTTTCATCTCTACATAGTTCTGACTTTGGGGCAGGAGTTAGGTTCCCTGGGGTCCCACCCTCTCCTCTACAGTGTTTGGATGGTGCTGGAATTGGCAAGGTAGACCCATTCCTCTCCACATCCTCAGGGTAAAACTTCTGCCTGCCTGCCTACTCACCCTTCTTTTAGCAACAGGGCCTCAGTTAATCCACTGGGACTTGCTACTGCCTTCTTGTTACTGACTTATTCTATTCTTGGGCCTGAGACATCCCAGAAAACACTGCCTGATAACCAGGAAACCGGGGCTTGCTTACCACGAGGGCACTCAGGGAACATCTCAAGCCTAGGAAAGAGGTAGATTGAAAGTGGAGAGGCAGCAGTGGGACCTGGAACGGACAGTTCATTCAAGGAAGATATCTTGGGGGTTTGGGGAGTGGCAGGCTAGTGCCCCAAACGCTGCAGATGCGGAGACGGCATGGCTCCAGTGATTGAAGATGGGCATAGGGGCCTTCATCTGCTCCCTGAAAATGTCTACAGGTGGGGAGGTGCTAGGGAGCCGACGGGTGGGGTGGAGACAGCCCAGTGTTTTTGGATTCGATGCACTTCATTTGGGTTTGCATTGTTTTGTTCCGAGTTTCGTGATGAGTTTTGGAACCTCAAATCATTAAAACCATGAGAAGCAAACCAGCCACTGAGGTTCACTGAGACTCAAGCAAACCAAAGCTGGTGGGTTCCACTGAAGAGAGATTAGAGGCTCACGTGGTTTTATATCTCATCTTCACCATCATCTGATTTAGGGCCCAACCCAACTCTCATTAAAGTCAGTGGGAGTCTTTCCAGTGGCTTCAGTAGGAGTTGGATCAGGCTCCTTAATAGGAACCAGGTGGCAATTTATGAAATGATTCCCAATTAGCTAAAGTTCCAGGTAGCTCTCAGAGTAGCCGCAATCACCCAAGACCCCCAGCAGATGAGCCCAAAGCTTAAACAGAGGAAACTCAGGAAGACACAAAATTACAACGGGCTTCCAGGGAAACCATCCTGTCACACACACTGAAAGAGCTTCTCTTCAACTCTCCTAATCAGCTGACAGGCAACATGAACAAGAATGTCACCAAAGTGAGATATGAGCAGCACAGTTTATAAACAGGGGGCAAGGCAAGCTCAGTGGTTTGAGCATTGGCCTGCTAAACCCAGGGTTGTGAGTTCAATCCTTGAGGGGCCCTGTAGTGAGCCGGTGTGGCGCCCCTCCGTCTCCGATAGGGCCGAGCCTCCTCTAACCCCAGCGCGGGCGAGCCACTGGGTCCGGGGCCCGCCCCTCCGAGGTCACGGCCCCGACCTGGAAGTATAAAAGCCCGCCGGCAGAGCTCAGTGGAGCCCAGGCCGGCAGAGAGAACAGACGTCCCAGGCCGAGCTCCCGCTTGGGAGACAGCCACAGGCCGCGAGCCGCCTGCTACCCCGCCGTGCCGGTCGAGCCAGGTACCCCGAGGAGGACTGGCCAAGCCTGCCCCGTGCCAGCTACCCTGGGGAAGAGCTGCCGGACCGGCCCCCAAGCCCCGCACCAGAGGAACCGATGCTGCTGGACTGGCCCGAACCCGGCATTGCCAACGAGGTAGGCCCCGATGGGGAACACGGAAGTAGGCCGGGGGTAGCCGACCCCGGTCAGGCTGCAGAGGCCTGTGAGCCGATGTCAGTGTGTTTCGGTCAGGATACCCCACTGACCAGCAGCGGCAGTAACCGCTGCTAGGGCCCCGGGCTGGAACGCAGTGGAGTGGGTGGGCCTGCGTTCCCCCCTGCCACCCCGCTCACGGGTGGCAGGCTTCCCCCTCGCCCAACGCTCAGGTGTAGGACCCTGGGCTCCTTAACTGCTTGTCTGCTCAGCCCCTGCATTCAAGGGCCTGAGCTCCCTGAACTGTGGGCCGCTCAGCCCCTGCGTAAAGGGACCTGAGCTTTGACTGTCTGTGCTACAGTGAGCCGGTGTGGCGCCCCTCCGTCCTGGAGGGTAGAGCCCCGGCGTGACCCTACTACACGGCCACTTAGGGCTCTGGTACAAAAATCTGTACTTGGTCCTGCTAGTGAAGGCAGGGGGCTGGACTCGATGACCTTTCAGGGTTCTTTCCAGTTCTATGAGATAGGTATATCTCTCTATATTATTTCTTCTGAGGCATCAAGAGCCACAGAATGGGAAACTGTTCAACAGATTTAGGCCAAAAATAATTTGACCCACACTAAAATGGCCATTTCCAGGAGACCAATGGCCTTTGTGTGTGTATATATTCATATAAACTTAAAAAAACCCCTTTTAAAAATATAATATCCCATTGATAACGGCACAGGGAGCCTTTCAAGTCTAGGCTACTTGTTCAACCCTTCCCCTGACCAGAAGTGGTTGGTTCTTTGGTCACCTATGCAAAATGAATTTGGGAGTCTTCGTACATTCCCGAGGGCCTGAGCCAAAGTCAGTGGAAAGTCCCCCATTGACTCCAAAGGGTTTTGCGTCAGGCTCTTTATGAAGAACTTCCCATTACAGCTATAATTCCCCTGTTATTGGCAAGATCAGCAGAGAGACCAAGTACTGAATGGTCCATGAAAATTGACTTTCCCCTCTCAGCCGCTACCTTTAGCGCAGGGTAAAGCCCACTGGCAGGGCGGCTGTGCGTACTGTTCCTATTGGGAGGACAAAAAGAATCCGTCAGAGCTGCCATTCCGGCATCTTGCAGGAACACTAAATGCTCTTAAAGAAAACCAAATATCTTCCATTTCATTGCCAAGAAATCACTACAACCAAACCAAGAGCCACCAGTTTAGTGCCACATGCCAAGAAGCAATGAACGAGCTCTCTACCGCAAGCTTGTATGTAAAAACTCCATTCTCAACGCTGTGCCGCATTCTTGCTATGAAAATTGCTGGTAATAACGGGGCACAGACTGAACATTGTATAAATGAGTGGCAGCTACGCTGGCTCTTGCTGCACAAGAAAAAGTCAAGCTTTGTTCAGTGGAGGAGAACGAAACCATTCAGAGTTGCCCATGATTTGCAGAGGACAGTCCTGATTTTTATTTATTTAAGAGGAAGGGTGGATGGGTTTACGCCCACCTCTCTCCCCCCATGTTTAGCCACCTCTCTGCCAATGACCTCAGTGTACGTATATAGAGTCAAGCACATATATTTTTTTATAATCTAGAGTAGTATGGCCCATAAGAAACCTAACCACCACCTCTCTGCCCAGTGCCTGATCATCTCCAAGGAGGCCTTCCACTTACTCCCATTCTTGTCTCCAGTCAATGCAGAAGGAGCTGCAGAGGAGAACTTTATATTACTGTGAATACATGACTCCTGTGTTTTTTATCAGTATCAAAAGACATATTGATCTCCACGCCACTAAGAACTGACATTGATTTAGGCTTTTACCATGGTCAATACACCATTAACTTATTTTGGTAAGATCAATGCTGTGAGTCAATTTCTGCTTACCACTGATGCTTGACTGCCCAGTTTCCCAACACCCTTCAAGGACAGAGAGTTCTCAAGTCCCTATTGATGCACTGGGTTAAGTGGGCTCACACTTACACAACTCCCTTCTAGGTTTTCTTATGCTTGCTAGGAGAGCAAAATCAGCCATTTCTTTCAAAGAGCCAGGCCTCTGGTTCCTGGTCCCTCTCTGGCTAGTCAGTTGTCTCCTTGCCCTCGTACATGGTTGGCTCATTTTAGCGCGATTGCACAGTATTAGAATAGGGAAAATTGCTTATGCTGCTTTTTCTCATTGTTTAAATGTAGCTCCCAGATTCAGTAACTCAACTGCTAGGAACATATTCGCTACCAAAGACCACAGTGAGAGAGACTTAACTCTTATCCCATCTGCTGGGAAGTGTGGTCTGAAAGCCGGGCTGAATGCTGTCATCAGTGTTTGCTCCTGCTGCTTTATTTGTCCCTTTGCATAGGAAAAACATTGGTGACAGCAATTAGCTACACAAATTGCTCCTGAGAAATCGCCTGTGACGTGGAGCCCTACGTCAGCCCGTCGACTGCCAGGGACCGTGGGGTTTAATTTGGTTTCCTCCACAGCCATGGAGACAGTATCATTTATCCTCTAGTTGTAGCAGAACCTTTTGTACACTGCAGACCTAACTAAATCAGCTTCCCTGTTGCCCTCCTGGAGAATGCACTGGAAGACAAAAGGCAAAGAAAAGGGCACAGAACTTTGTAGATGTGGGTGAAAGAGCTGGAGAAGGGGATCAGTCCAGGGGAAGCCTTCAGTGATTTAGCTATAGCAATAACTGTACTTTATTCATCTTTTTAAAAAAGAGTTTATCATCTTGAACTTCAAAACATTTAGGACAATGGTGGGAGCTCTCTGCAGCTAAAAACGCCCTATTGCTGCTTTGCCTAAAGAGTGGCAGACCCACCAATGACTTTCTCAGGGCTTACTCACAATGCTCAATCTAGATTATTTCATTCTAGATTTAAGGACAATCCATGCTACTAGTTTTCCTGTCCCCAGCTGCTCTATACCAAGTATGGTGTGCAGCACCCTACAGTGATTCATGCTTGAGATGCCCTTGCCAAGGATGGATGCCACCATCTCTTCAAACAGAAGATGTAACTTCTCCCTCCCTCG